AAGAGTGCAGAGATGCCTAATTTGTGAACCACAGATAGGCTTAAGCAGGACATAGGTAGTGAATTGCTCAGCTCAGCCAGGATGGTGGCAATTCTGTGTAGGTTCTGTTGCAGGATTTTAGGTGCATAAGTCAGTGTTTTCCTAAAAACTTGACTGTCAGTGTCTAGGGGTTCTCTGTTGCTTAACAGGTTTTCTGTGGATCACTTCTTTGGACTTAGGTGGCTAACTTCTGTCAAAGTAATTTAAGAACCAGAATTATTTTGTGAATTTCATGGTTATGGACTACATATGCAGCACTGGTCTAGTAGACCATGCCATAGTGCTGCTTTGTTCAGAAGGACAGTGTGTAATCTCTCTTTCTGTCTGATTCTAATTGTGTATTCAGTTAAAAAAAAAAAAAAAAAAAAAAAGCTTGTGGATGACCAGAAGCTTTTCATTCTTGCACAGTAAAGGGGGATAAGATGACATGTTCTTGGGCAAGTAGCTTTTTCTAAGTGGGCTGGTGCACCAGCTACTTCAACAGAGCTCTACTGATCTAGAGAAAGTGGTCTAATAATGTTACTTTTATATGGACCAGCCAATTCGGATACTAACATTCGCTCAGAGTAGGGCCCCCTAATATGATTATCTGCAGGCTGGAATCTTTAGGTTTCATTTACTATATTTTCAAGACTTTTTCTGATTATAGCTGGCCCAAGGTCAGTGTCCCATACAGCTATTAATGGAGTCCCATATGAACAACTAGCTAATAAATGACTATTAGCTTCAAGTTGATTTCAGGCATTTGGTTGTTCAAATTTCCTTTTGAGGTTAGTATAGGAGAGCTAAGAGTAAAATGTGCAGCTGTATAGCTATTTCAGTTTGGCTGTATAAATGTTTAAATGACAGAGAATGTCTTACTATTTTAAATGTAACAGAGCAGAAGAAAAGTTTGTTTTGGGTAGTGAATTACCGTTTTATATGCTTTCCAGGATGTATAGCTAGCTGCTGTTAATACTAATGAATAACAAGCACATGTGAGGAATATAACCTCATCCATATGTGAACCTAGCCAGACTTAAGTAGAGGTACATCAATACATCGGTCCAATATCGAATCAGTACTGCTATAAAGAAAATTTACTGTATTGAAAATCAGCTTTTTTTTGCCTGATGTTGCTGATAAATGCCCTGTGCATGCACACAGCCACAGAGGAGCACAGCCCAGCAGCATAGAGAGCTGCATCCAGCTGGTAAGTCTGTTGTGGTGGAAGGGGAGGGGGGAGG